TATTTTGTAAGAAGTTTATGAACATGATATTAGATACGGGGTGTTCAATTTGAAATAACCGAGAAAATCATGGTCGTGAGTTTTGGATGACCCTGTATATAAAATAAAAGATATCAAAAACATGATGAGTTGCAACAAAACTAGACTACTACTAAATTATTCTGGACTTGAGATATTAACCCTCAATTGTTGATTCTAAATAATATAGCGTGACGATTTCATTAGGATTTTCACATACAAGTGGCCATTTCTTTAAAAGTACCCTGTAGAACCTGATAAAACCCTAAATTGCCGGAATGGAGAAAATGATTAAAATTCAAGATAACATATAGGGTGTTCTAGTAAAAAAACATAATTTCTGTGACTTTATGAAATATCCTGTACATTACGAAATAATTTTAAAATGCGGAGCTGGGCTGTATCTATAATTTGTATTTTCGTATCAAAACAGAGATATCAAACTCCGGAGTATAAGTTGATCTATATATATTATTAATATATAATAATTAATTATATAGTAAATGGAACTTTCCAAAGTTGTGTTCATTTTAATTAATCAACATCTTGTAGGTAATCGTAGTACTGACAAAGAAAAAAGAAGAACAAGTGAAATTAAACATAAATATCTAAAGTTCAGCTCTTTGAAATGTCGGACATAAAAATTTTAATATTGCAAAATACATACGTTTTTCTACAACCACATAGTAATTAGCTAATCTACGCACAGAATACAAAACGAAAAAGTATGCCGTTGTGTTCAACTGAACTATTATATTTCATAACCATTTTACTTGTAAGTAAACTGCATGATAATGAAATCTGTCAAATCTGTCAAACTAATTGTCATACATTATACAACTAGAAAACTGAAAATTCTCGATTATACGAGACGTATTGCCTGACGTTTTGTTAGGCAATACGTCGAGTTTTGTGAATTTTTAATTATCGAGTTGTATACAGATTGACTATATCACGAAATAAAAAAAAGTTATGGGGCAGAATCGAACCCTGGCCCACCGCGTTGAAAACAAAAGTTATACCGATCGATCACAGATCCTATATAAAAAAAGTTTCGTGCTCAAATTTCGTTCTCGTGCGATAATGACCATCATATCCACCCTTGTTGCAGAAACTACAATTGAAGCATGTTTTAAAATAAAAAAAAAAACATTGGTCTATATCTGCTACCAGGGCTAATCAACGACGCCGGGAGTACGCTACTCCTAACTGAGAATTTTGTCCGTATTCGAGAAATTTGACAAAATGTGCAAAATTCTGATTTTTAAGAAAATTGTTAAACTAAAAGTTGTTTGCGATATCGATCTCTATAATTTTTGTTTTTTCATGATTTTTCTAAAATGGACCGTAATGAAAAAATTGGAGGAAAAGTGCTAAATTTAAAATTTTCAGTATTTTCGTTTTCAATGAATATCTATAGAAAAATTTTTCGAGTTAGATGTATGTGGAAAATGTATATATTTAGTTTATCCTCTAAACATTTTTAGAGGTGCTGCAATAGGATGTAAAAAATAACTGGAAAAAGCCTATAATAACTAAATAGGAAAGTCATGTGTTGGACACATCAGATTTTTTTGTCTAGTTAATTAAACCCAGTTCTATCCTACATAGGTGACCTTAGCCTGGGTTCCAGGCCATGAGGGATATCAGGGCAACGAAAAGGCCGACGAATTATCCCAAGAAGGCTCAGATAAGGCCATGACAGGCCCTGAACCCTTTTGTGGAGTCGCTAAGGCATTGTGCAAGGCATCCATTAAACAATGGATGCAAAAAGAGTCTCAGGAATGGTGAAACAACTATCCAAGACTGAGACAGGCTAAACAGTTCATCAAGGAACCATCGGCCAAGTTTACGAAAGACCTACTGGATCAAAAACGTCAAATCGTTAGGATAACAGTAGGCCTTCTTACTGGACACTGTCGCTTCAAAAGGCACATGAGTGTCATAAATCCAGCAGAAGAAGCAACTTTGTGCAGGTTCTGTGAAGAAGAAGAGGAAACATCATTCCACGTCCTGTGCCAATGTGAAGGCTTGGCTGGAATGAGGTTTCTAACATTGGGCGAAGAAAAGCCAATTACATGCAACTACATGCGGGAGCCACTGTCAAAGCTACTAAGTCTAATAAAAAATACCAGGCTAGACGACATACTCTAAAACAAACGGAGTCCCACAATATATCTGAAAAGGTCGCGGTGGACAAGGACAAATAACGTCCAACTCCTAATCTAATCTAATCCTACATATTATCCTTTGTTGGAAAAACTTTAACTTTCTAATTTGGTTATAAAAATAAATAAAAAACGTGAACTGACATATCATATCTAATAAAATCGTCAAAAATGTATACATTCGTAACATATTTTAAAATAAAAAAGGCATCGCCTTAATGTTTCAAGAGTATTATTTCAAAACTGTTAATGTATATGAAGTCTAATAATTTATAAACACTTAATTATTGTTCTTCCCAGTAAAGGTAGTTGCGAAATTTACCCTATTCTTAACGAGTCTTCAAATGATGTGACAACCATGTGTGTGTATGACCCCATTATGTTGGTAATAACTTAATTTCCTATAAAAAGTGCGACCTTGACAAAAAAAGTGTGTAAGGGAGTGTGTATGGCCACATTAGACATTATACCGTAATATATAACCATATCTATCTTTAAGAGGACTGACCCCCTAAGTCTGTTAGCATAAAAAATGGCAAAAGAAGGAGTGTATCTAAATAATTTCAATAGCTATAAATAGATTAAAAGATTCTACATAAAGTACATGCAGAAATTTCATTGTCCCCATAATTCACGTCAGTGTCATGTGGCCGCACAATGATTTCCCGGTGTGTATGTGT